TAGGGCCTCTACAAGAAGTCCCAGCCTCCTAAGAGAACAGCCCACCCTAGAACCAGACTGTGTGTCTGGTGGACTGGGGAGCAGACAGCCTGTGTGGCAATCCGCCTGTGTGGCAAAGCAGACAGCCTGTGTGGCAATCCGCCTGTGTGGCAAGAGGCCAAAGGACAAGCCGGTGTGGCTAGCGTTTTGAATACAGCCTGTGTGACCAGACGTTTTTTGTTAAAGGATCTTCCTGAAGTCGGTGAGATGGGAAAAATTCCCAAGCCTACTGCTGGGGGCGAGGCTGGGGAATGCCTCACCCGGAGCAAGAGGTACCGCACGTCACTGATATATATATTTATTTTTGTAGTTAGCATGTTGTCTGGAGTTCAGTGTGTAGATTGAAACCCCTATAGTAAGAGTGTGGTCCTTTGTCCCATGTTTTCATAATACAAGCTGATACGTCCTCAAAAAACAAAATGCCTAAGTATCTGTGCCTGAATTGTATGGACTATGGATACTTTGATACCCTAAGTTCCTAGGAATAGGCAAATTTATGTGAAACCCACTTGCCCCAACAAGGAGGAGGTAGATTTCAACTCCCTCCCTAGTGTACTGGAAAATGATCTCTTCAGACCACTTACCCATTTGCCTTCAGTGAATAAAACAGAAGTTAAACTGCCCGACCTTGTTAAAAAATACAATTATTCTTATTTGATGTTTAAAATGAATCTGCAGTCCTATCTCACAGCCAATCTCCTCTGTTTCCCTAACTCTGCTAGAATCTGAACACGTACAGGCTTCCTCTGTTCTGCCCCCCAAAACATGTCATGTTCCACCTTTGCAGCATGACAACATTCTGTACAATGTTTTTTTCATTTTTTTTTTCATTCTTTAGTATGAAGATGACTATGAAGGAGAGCAATGCAGGATACATAGTACCAGAAAACCAGTTTCTCGTGATAAGCTAATTTACAGTATGATAGTAGACAACAGATCAGTTAAAAAATTTCTATCCATTTACAACAAAGACTATGTCATTCATGAAACATAGGGAAACTGTGGCACTCCAGGATCAGTGTAAATTCTTTGAATTTCATATAATCCATCAGTGTCCAGAAAAAATCTTTGCATAACAACACTAACGCTTTAAATGCAATGATGTGCTTTATCATAGCTTAATCATTTTATTCCAAAATGTTTTCTGGATGCCGATGGATTATATGAAATAAAATAATTCACATGAAGCTTGCATCTGGGGAGGTACATGGAGTTTAGAGTTCAGCAGGAAACTGGATATCACTGACAATTGAGCAAGATATCAGGCATTGAGCTATTCAGCCTTACAGGTGGCTCAGCAGAAAGAGCCAGAGCCAAAAATAACAGAGAACCTGGGTTCAGATCTGGATCCTGACAGTACCCCCTTCTTCCCAGGATGGCCCATGAATATCTGGTCTGGTTTGTGAGGAAACCTGTGATGAAATTCTCTTGTCGGGCTAGTAGCATGACCATTTTCTTCAGTCTCCTAAGAATTTTCTTCTGGTCCATATTCTTTCCATTGAACCAGAACAAGCAACATAATTCTTGAGATTTATGGTAGATACCCAGACCTTGTCACCTACATGAAAGGTAGAAGCTTCTCTGCGATGTCTGTCAGCAGCCTTTTTGTAATTTTCCTGAACCTCCTTCAATGTCTCAATTATTTTTTCTCCTGTAAAGCAGGGCATCTGTTAGTTACAACAGGAATTAGACTTCAGATAGGGGGTTAGGGATAAAAGCTGGATGATAGCCAGTATTTACATGAAAAGGACTTTGAGAAGTGGAGCTGTGCTTAGAAGTATTGTAAGCAAATTATGCTGTTGGAAGATGGTCCACACAGTCATCCTGAAGATAAATGACAAAACACGGAAGTTACTGTTCCAAGGTTTGATTGGTCCTCTCGATCTGTCCATTAATTTGAGGGTGAAAGGCAGAAGAAACATTTAATTTTAAAACCTAGGGCTGTGCAAAAGCTCTTCCAAACTTTTGAGGTAAACTGTACTCCTCCTGCAATTACTACATTATCAAGGATTTCATGCGGTCTAAATATTTCTTGGTGTCACGTCTGCAGTTTTTACAATAGTGGATCTCAACTGCGGAGTAATAGGATCAATCAGATACGAATCTCAGGCGTCACTCACAATCTCAACGGTGAGTTTGAGATTCTACCATCACGTGATCAAAGGAAAAACAACACAATTCAACACAGTACTATTGCTTCATAGACTGTGGGTTGGTAGTTGAAACACTAGCATGCAGTGGCTGCGGCAGGGTTAAGAGCGGATACTCAGTAAGTCTAATACACAGTTCATATCAGCCTGCATGCAGGCAGAGGAGAGGTGCTCTCTCACAGATAGGGTACTTGCGATTGGCAGTAGCTGAGTGATGGCTGAGACTCCCAGGTGACTCCAGTATCAGAACTGAGCAGGTCCGTCTTCCAGATGGCAGCAGGGGGATGAGAAGGGTCCGGTTGGTGATAGTCCCATACACAGGTTCGTGAGGCAGCAGGCGTTCAGACAACAATCACAGAACGCCATGCTGCCTCATCAGTGCCCTTAAATAGGGCCAGGAAGTGAGAAGGGATCGCTGATTGGTCCGGACGACTTCCGCGTTCCACCGTGGAACGCAGCCGCCGCGTCACAACCCGGAGTTCGTGTGTCTTCCGCGTTCCACGGTGGGACGCAGAGGACCGCGGCAGACAAACAAGAGGCCGCCCCGTCGGTGGCATTACACTTGGGCCATCAGCTCGGCAGTTTGTTGGGATAAATTGAGATGGTCAAAGACTACTAGAATGGTGGCCATCTCTTTAGAGGGAGGTAGATCAACCACAAAATTAATAGAAATTGACCCCCATGGTTGTTATGGGTGTTCTGACTGGTTGGAGTAAATCCAAAAGGGAAGATTGGGGTGTCTTGTGTGTACAAGTCAGACATGAAGCAACATAGTTTTTGACATCTTTTTTGTAACCAGACCCACCAAAAGGAATGTAATAAAAGTTCTTCCGTCTTTCTGACCACTTACAGCAGAGTAGCAATATAAAGATGTAGTTTAGCAGTGAGGACAGGAAACGAGATACTGGCAGGAGGGCAATAATCTAAACAAAGTTCCGCTGGTCTCCAATTCAATTTAAACTAAATCCAATGTGATTAAAGTAATCAGCTCCCATGAATGACCCTTAACAATCCATTATAGTTTTGGTGATGAGAGTGCCAGCTGCCCATAGAAGCAGCTTTTTATTGACCCTCTAGAGCAGGGGTCTCAAACTCAATTCCCTATAGGGCCACTCGACAAATTTTTTCTCCCATGGGCGCCACTCAACAAATTTCATACTTTAAAATAAAATTTTACTGTATCGGGTTTGGTACTACGGACCCCAATATACTAGGGATGCACCGATACCGATACTAGTATCGGTATCTGTGCCGATGCAGAGTATTTGGATGAGTACTTGTACTCGCCCAAATGCTCAGATGCCTAGCCCGATACTTTCTGTATCAGGAAGCCAGGCAGCGCGTCATTACACGCTGCCCGGCTTCCTGATTGGCCGGGAAGCCGGCTCCAGGCTCCCTCTTCACATAGTGACGAGAAGCATGGGGACGGCTTCCCTGCTAATCGGGAAGCTGGGTGGCGAGAATTTACTAACAGCTAAAAACAATGGCCACCACTCCTTACTCTTGCTATTAGACCTTTCTGCTGCTTTTGCCACTGTTGACCACCTGCTCCTCCTCAAAAAACTCCACTCGCTTGGCCAACAAGACTCTGCTCTCTCATGGTTCTCCTCCTATGTAAGTGCTCCTTTAGCGTCACCTACAACTCTAACTCCTCCCCTCCTCTTCATCTTTCTGTAGGGGTCCCCCAAGGCTCTGTCCTTGGACCCCTTCTCTTCTCTATCTACACCTCCTCCCTTGGTCAATTAATAACCTCACATGGCTTCCAATACCATCTCTATGCCAATGACACTCAAATATATCTTTCTACTCCACAACTCACCCTATACTATAAAATATATTTTTAATTATAAAACATACATGCATGTCCATTAAAACAAATTCCAATGTTATTACAACGATTGTGAACAAATGAAAGATGGCTTTCTGCTCCTATTTTTTTAAACACAAAATCTAAAAAAAGAAAATAATTTATGAACATTTCTGTGTTTCACAGGTGGCAGGTTAAAGGAGGCCAGGAAACCTTTGGCCTGGGGGGCAAACACAACTAACTAGCCCTTTCATGATAAAGTCAGATTTTTATGGGTAAAGAAAGTGCCATTGTACCTTAATAATTGGCAGGAATGGTGAAATGTGGGTGTTCGTAAGGGCTTGTTCACACCAATTGCGGTGCGTTCCAGAGACTCATTCTGGATGTCACAACACTTCTTAAAACTCAACCTTTCAAAAACTGAGCTCTTGATATTTCCTCCTGCCAGTGCAGCTTCCGCAAACCTTTCCCTTAAGATTGTTAACACAGCAGGGACAACATTTCTCCACAAAATTGTGTCTTTGGACCTTTATTAAAGTCATAGAGGGTGTCAACATCTTGAAATTGGATTTCCTAGCTATTTGTTTATTTCTCCCTCGGATAGGGATTATGCCACAATCATTTGGGTTTGTAATGGCTGCAGAAGCTGGGCAGGACTTGGAATTCCAATGGTTAGATTTAGCCACTGGTGTTCTAGGAATTGCAAAAAGTAAAGTAATCCAGCATGCCATTGAGCTTGCCGGTAACCACTTAAAATGGCAACAAAGATTTTAGGTAAAATTGGCCTTTAATTTCCCCCTGTGCTTGACGTTCTTGTATAGATAGAATCATGTAGCAAACCTTAGTTAGGATTTTATTTCTCCATATCTCTGTAAGCTATACAAAAATTGTAAAATATTTGGCTGTTTATAAAATAGTCATGGCTAAAGAGTTTAAGATACAACATTTCAATTTATAGGTATCTTTAAAACATATTACATATGGGAGCACAAAGGTCCACGGAGTCATTTAAACACTGTGTACACAGTACTTGGTTTTTTTGTGAGTCGTCTTGAATGTGTCTTGTACATATTATGTGGAAAGTATGTAGTATTTAATACATATTCTTCCATGTCCACCTCTTCCATCACCAAGAATCCTTCACTGTCCAATGTGTGACACCAGCAGATGTCTTTGCTATAAATTAAAGTACAAATGTGAAAAATTTTAGCATTATTAAAACAGAAAATGAATAAAGCTGCACAAGTCATCAAAAAAGGCATGCTACAAATATCATCAAGATTTGTAGAAATTCTACTGACACTAGGGGGGGTCATGTATAAACATTCTGCCTGGCATATAGAGGGGCGGATTCCGTTCACGCAGCACTAGTGCCCCTAGATGGTGATGACCGGTATCGGGAATTTCTATTCTAACGTTTATAAACAAGCGCCTAGGCACATAGCATGTCTAATACCCTCATTCAGCTTTGACTTGTCTTTAGAGCAGGGGTGCCCATTAGGTCGATCACGATCTACCAGTCGATCGCAAAGCGATCCCTGGTAGATTGCGAAGTCCTGTCCTCCTGCCGTGGGGCTTTTCCTCTGGATCCCCGCTGCTCTCCTCCATCTGTATGTAGCGGGGATCCTAGAAGTGAACGAAGCGCTGCAGGCGGTGGTGGGGGCGGAGCCGCTATCACAGCAGCACGCCGAGCGGTGAGGAGAGAGAAACTTTGATATTAGGTTGTATAAAAAAAAAAGGTAATACATCATTAGAAGGATATTTATTCAAGTTGGTTTGAATACTACAATATTATTGGTACACTAGTAAAGATTACAATAATATAATAAAAACTACAAGCTTTGCATGTATAAGGTAGGAATATAATATATGGCAAATTAACAAACAACAGTAAAAAAAAAGTGTACTCACCTGCCCATAACAAGTGCAGCTATGAGACATGCCAACAAAATAGCGGTGAGGACAGAGAGAATGACTACAATTACAATCATTCCAGCACTGCGTCCTTGTGGCACCAGATTAGGTGGAGGCATTACTAAAGGGAAAGGAAGAAAGTAGAATATATGGTTATATGATATGTTTTACGTTATTAAGGTAGAGTACAAGTACTACTGACGGTTTAGAAGAATCTCAAACACATACGCCAATTAAAACAGTCTACTTTTTTCCCTATATCTTCCTTTAATTCCTTTTAACAAGTTAAATCAGACTTTCAAATATAGTTTAAATAGGATAAGCCATATGCACCTGAGTCCTTGATGAAGAGCTCTTTTTCACACCGACCAAAACAGAACATTGCTCTTTTAGCGCCGCTTTTCACTTAGGCCTGGTTCACACCTAGGCATTTTTTAACAGCTGGAAAAGCGCTTTTAAACGCCCAACACAAGAAATCCCATGATTTTCTATGGCCCCTGTTCACACCTGATCAGAAAAACACCAGCAGGAAAATGCCAAATGCCTGAAAAGGTACATAAGCTTCTTTGAGCAGTTAACAGCGTGTTTTTGCCCCATAGACTTGTATTATGAACGCATGAAAACGTGCGTTCGCAACATGTGCACGTTTTCGCACGGTTTGCGTGCACGTTTCACACGATTTACAGGATTCAAGACTGTCCACATTTTGAGTCATTTATCAGGCAAGTGCGTGACCACCCTTGCATCCATGATCAGAGGAACCCTCAATACAAGAACAGGGGAAGGAGGAGCAATGCCTGGGCACAAATAGCCTCTGAAATCTGGCCAGATTGGGAAAGTTTCACTCCCACGATGAAAGATGCCAAAGGTAAGAAGTACAGTGGTACCTTGGTTCACGAACGCTTCTGTTCGTGAACAATTTGGTTCGCGAACAGGAAGTTTGGCAAAATTATGCTTCTGTTCACGAACTTCGCATCGGGTGATGAACACAACTGCAGCCATCTTCCCTGCTCTGACACATGGTTGTGGCAGTTTGATTCGGTTTGCCACCAATTCGGTTCGCGACCAGAATCGTGGAACAAATTAAGTTCGTGAACCGAGGTACCACTGTATATGTGACCCCTTTTTTCTCTCCTTAATTTCCTGCTTTTATGTGTACTTTTGAGGTAATCACTGTATTGTGTAGTGGTTTTCATGTCTAACTAGTGTCAGTTAGTGTTCCCTTCCAGGCCTATTTAAAATTCATGTGTGCCTGAGCTTTGAATTATTTACATATTATTAACAAACAGTAAGGCCTTGTTCACACCAAGCGAGGAGCAGGTGCAGAGCAGTGCAGTTACAGACCAGAGCAAAACTGCGTCCAATGTATTCCAATGGTATTTTTTGCTCCAGTTCGCATCGCAGAGTTCAGTTCCAGAGCAGGTCCAGAGCAGGTAACAAAACTGCAGCAGGCCCCATTTTACCTGCTCTGGACCTGCCTTGGAACGCATGCAAACGCATCAAAAATGCCTGGAATGCACTGAAAGCCCATTTTAAACGGAAAAAATATGTTTTTTAACCAAAACGGCCCGGAACGCTGCCTCGCCTGTTTGTTGTAACTCTGTCTGCGACAAAGGCACTAATTGGCTACCTATACTACCATTGCTTGTTGTGTTTCTGTCTGGATTTTATATGAAGCCTGCCTAGCTCCTAAGGTAGTCTGGGCCTTAAATACCTGCCCTATATTAATATGTATTCATTTTTTGTTTTTTTTTACATTTTCAGTAAAACCTTGCCCAGTGTTTTTTGTTTTCCATGACCCCACCTTCTTCTTCTGGTCCTTTTTGTGTAAGTAAGAAATAAGCTAACATTTTTGCCTCCCAGGGGCGGACTGACAACACATGGGGCCCCGTGCAATACAAGAGTATAGGTCCCCCGGGCAATACGAGTGAGTGGTGCCCCCTTGTGCTCTGCCCACATAGAAGCCCCACCCGCATATACATTACTGCACCCCCTGCATTACTCTTCCTACACTGCCCGCCTCTGCATCTCTCTTCTTACACTACTTACCCCTGCACCTCCTGCATCCCTCTTCCTGCACCACTTACTTCTGCACCCCCTGCATCCCTTTTCCTACACTGCCCACCTCTGCACCCCCTGCAACCCTTTACTAATACTTCTCACATCTGCACCCCCCTCCTACACTTAGTAAAACCTTGCCCAGTGTTTTTTGTTTTCCATGACCCCACCTTCTTCTTCTGGTCCTTTTTGTGTAAGTAAGAAATAAGCTAACATTTTTGCCTCCCAGGGGCGGACTGACAACACATGGGGCCCCGTGCAATACAAGAGTATAGGTCCCCCGGGCAATACGAGTGAGTGGTGCCCCCTTGTGCTCTGCCCACATAGAAGCCCCACCCGCATATACATTACTGCACCCCCTGCATTCCTCTTCCTACACTGCCCGCCTCTGCATCTCTCTTCTTACACTACTTACCCCTGCACCTCCTGCATCCCTCTTCCTGCAACAACTTACTTCTGCACCCCCCGCATCCCTTTTCCTACACTGCCCACCTCTGCACCCCCTGCAACCCTTTACTAATACTTCTCACATCTGCACCCCCCTCCTACACTGCTTGGCAGGAGTGCAGAGGTGAACACTGTAGGAAGAGGATGCAGAGGGTACAGAAGTTAACTGTGTTGGAAGAGGGTGTGCAAAGGGACTCCCCCTCCTCTTCCAACACATTGACTGTGTGTCGGGAACACCAGAGCGAGAGGCTGGTCTCTAATCAGATGACCAGTTGCTGGGTCCTCCCTGCTACATCCCTGCTCAGAGCCGGCTAGTCCCACGCATTCCCTGCCTCTCTTTGCCGCCCATTTATCCTAACACCTGCTCATTACACCGTCTAATGCAAGAGCGGTGTAAGGAAACAGCATCATGATTTTGCAGAGCTGTGCGTGCCTGGTCTGCCTGATGGCACCCGCCCCATCCATGCGCCCGGACAGCCGCACCATAGCCTGTTGGCAGTCCCTAGCCACGGGCCACCTCCTGGCAATGCCTGACGGCCCCAATGGTCGGTCTGCCCCTGTTGCCTCCCTTCTCTAGAGTGCACTCATATATTGTATTTCTATTCTATGAGCCAAGTAAAACCATCATTTTGGTGCCATCACAATGTTATGCAATTTGTATTACCAATACAAGAAAGTACTTCAGTGTAAGTAAAGTATGCCATTTTTTATGAACTACAATGCTTGTTGTGTTTTCAGTTTATATATTAGTGATGGAGCATATTTTTGAACTATCCTTTGAAAATGCTCCCATGTTAACACACATGCATTGTTGCATTGTGCAACATGTGCAAACAAGTGTTTCCTTTCCCTTTGCCCATTGTTTCTTTCTACCTGCTTATTTGAATTTTTGGTTACTTTCTTCTGTAGTGTATAGTGCAGCAACATTAGTGGTACTCTAGCACAATTCCATGATACAAAGAGAAGAGGTTCTTACTTTTGTTTAGTTCTAAGCGTAATATTATAATAGTTTTCCATATTATGATGTTATATTCAGGAATAATACCACGGCTACCATACTTTCTGAAAATAATTGTAAACATCAATCTATGTGACAGTCAAATTAGTAAACTATACCTGTTCTTAGGTTGATGACTTCAGACCATCGTGTTGAATTTACCATTGTGTTGTTGTTGTTTAGCACAACAAATTTAGCCCTGCCAACATAGGAAAAAAACCTCAGAGCAATTGTGACAGAGTTTCATGACTTTCCTACTATAAAGAGTTAGCTCTGTTTTAATACAGGGCATATCATAAACATCATCATGTCCTAGAGACACCACAATGGTGATGTCCTTTTGTAAAAGCTCCACCCCTTGTGTCATTATAGTTTTAGTAAAATTGATTGCTAGAATGGGCCCATACGGATCATTCTGAATGCTTTATATTAACAGCTGCTTTCAAGCTGTCAACTGCACAGACCACCAAACAAAAAGTTGAGATGGTTTATGCTACCTAAACTGTAAAAAGTCTTCTGACTCCTTTCAACAATTTTTTCCCCCTGTGCAGCACCCTGTAAGCAGGAGTGCTGTGAAATTTAGTTATTCTCAGACTGTCGTTAGTCCGAGATAGATCTGTAGCTATGTTCATCTCATTTCTTCAGAACAATCTATGGATGCTGCATCTGCCTGTTGCTGGGTGTGTTTGTGCCACACAGAGTAGAGCAGCCAATAAGGATTGTTCTGAGCATTTGTGTCTCCTAGCCAATCACTGGAAGGTACAGGCCAGTGATGCATGCTGGGAGAGGATATAAATGCTCAGTGTGGCTAATGCAACATGCTCTCTCCTCCCCCAGGCCTCCCTGGTGGGAGGCTGCTGACTGACTGACTGACTGGGCCTAAGCCTGGGGACTAGCCTGATGCTGACACTGAAATTAGCCACAAACATTAATACTAAATGTAACCGAAAAGAAAAGAAAGAAACAAAATTTACCGGTAAGGTCCAGGGTTGGGTAAAGGGCCATTACAGAAATTAACATTTGTGCAATTTGATTCAATTCCAACTGGAAGCACAGCAATGGGTTGCGGAGCCATGTCAGCGCATGGGTATTTAGAGGCAGTTTTTGGGTAAATATGATGATAACCATTTTTTTTGAATGAGGAATAATTAGCTAGGGTACTCAGATTTGCTTCTGTTAAGTTTGGCACAGCTGCAAAGATAATTAGAAAAGCAATCATAATATGAAACAATGTGGGTAAAACTAACAACTGTTATTATAAATTGTTTGTGACATATATTTGAAAAGATATATATGTTCTTGAAATAATTCTAGCTCCAATAGTTTTAAAATGATAACAAGAACCTTCAATAAAGTACAACTTAAAGAGTCTAAACAAGTTCCAAATCCAGTTAGTATGTGATGCACAATCCTCATAAAATAAACAATAAACGCCCTTTACCTTCCCTGACCGAGCCACATCCTCCTTTATGTGTTTCTCTCACACACTGCCCCTCCCAGAGACTACAACTCACAGTGGGAGGCAGAGGCAGTGCCGTCAATCCAGAAAGCAGTGATCAGGACTAGGTGTGGCCAGGTGCTGATTGATAAGCTACAGGTTTGTGAATCAGCAGTGACAATGCTGATAGCCCCGTCCCCTGCAACATTTTTTTTAATACCACTGTAGTGCAAGCAGGCACACTTGATACCTCACTGATCAATAACAATGCTTGTGAGGGGCATGACCACACTCCTGACCAGGGAAGCTAGGTTAATATGTGCATAACAAAAGCAACCAATTATACAGGGCAGCCAGGATATTGCATAGGAGAAGAGGCCACTAGATGTGCATAGTATGCAAAGGTGCTAGTGTGACATGGGCCCCAGTCACAATTGGGTGTTTGCATTTTCAAGTGATTTTGAAGGTTTTTTTTGTGCATGAGAATTTGTTTTTTTTTCAGGTGGGTTTTTTATGTGTTTTCAAGCTTCAGACTCTTGTGTTTTGGCCAATGAAACTCAGTATCATCTGTCAACTCATGTCATCTTTGTCCATGTATCTGCTTTCTGTTCTTTGTGGTGTAGTGGTAATCGTGCTATCAGTATACCACATCCAGGAAAACTTCACTCCCTGGTCTTCTGCCACTTGCTATAGTGTATTTAGTTTCAATAGTTTTTATTGAGCATTTTCAATTTTATATTACAAAAAGTAATAAGTTGAACAACAAATCAGGTCTGGATAGGACCAAAGGGACAGAACAGAAAAGTTACTTGCACTTAGCCCCCCAATCGTGTATAGCCAGCAGTCAATCGTAAGCAGGGTACAGTCAGTATTTCCACATATACAAGCTGTAGTGTATTTAAATTGGTCATCTTTGAGGTCGTAAAGGTTCTTATGGGCCCTCACCAGGTAGATGAAAGTCTCCAAATCCAGCATAAACGCTCCCGAATCCTTTATTTTGCTCACAGGACTATGGTTGCTGGGAAGAGGCGATCAGGCACAAATACATGTGCACCAAACTGCTTGTGTTCCATATTTTCAGGCACTCCCATTGAAGTCTGTGGGGCCAAAAATAGCACAATTCTGCCTGAAGAAAGCTCAGGTACTTTTTCGTGTCAAAAGCATCAGCATAACACCCAGGAATGTGAATTGGCACCACTCAATAAAATGAGAATCTTCATATTCAGCATTGTTGCGTTTCAGTTAGTGCACAACAAATTGATCAGGTATGAATGCAGGATTAAGCAATACAGGTTGTTTACAAACTGGTCAAACCTTCTGACTCAACCGTGAAGGAGTATACCCATATTGTGGAGGACATCACTCTCCTCTGTCTTAATGTCAGCATGTGCACTTCAAGAAAGCCTAATAGGCTCCAAATGTTGCACCTCCCTCTTCTTATCTGGGTGCTACAGATAAATAACAGCAATAATCACTGTTGCTTTATCAGCCTAAAGTTCTGCTATAAATAGAGTTCTTCAACAAAATGATATTACACATTTTTATAGGTTAACATAAATGAATATGTAAAATGTATTTGTATGTAAAAATATTTTGTAAACTGACTTAAGTCTGATTTGAATTGGAGACAAATGTATTTTATACTATTCCAGTGTCAAGTAGTTGTGACCTGTATGACCCAGGCCTCAAAAACATGATATATAAGTTTAGTAAATCATTACAAATATGAACTATTCAACATACCACTATTTAAGGCAACCACCAACCAAACTGTACTTGTATTATATTGTTGGAAGATACACTGTGGTTCATCAAGGGTGAAAGTTGAGTATGTAAGTTTTCCTTGAAATGGCTTGAATGTAATTTGAGGAACATAAAATGGAACATCTGTAAAAAAAATTTAAAGCAGTTATATGCCTTTGTGAGAAAATACATACATTTTGTAATAATAATAAAAATAATAATAATAAGGATTGTTTATTTTGTAAAAATATAAACTTTTGAGAAATAGGATAGTTAAAATTGTATGGGCTTTGCCCATATTTTCACAAGTGCCAATATGTTGTATCTGTTTTTACAGAGTCACAAGTAACAAGTGTGCTACTTTTACAGGGTTAAATGATAGACACAACGATGCTTTAAGATAGAGGTTTGGAAGTAAATACTGTCAATGGTGACATGACTTTTCATGATTTCCCAAACATTTTCAGAATTCCAATCCTCCTCACCTTTCACACCTGCTTACCTGCCCCCCTCCCTAGCACCCAGACCTACATCACCCTCTCCTCCCTATGTTACACTACTCCCCACCCCTTTTCCCACATATTCTGCCCCACTTCCCTTTTCCCCACCCATTCTAATCTTCTTTAGGAAGCCAAAGCTTGACCACTCTGATGGTGAAAGGCCATCTTACACTTAGAATCTGACCTAGAAGATCATGTAAATCAATGTTAAGGTCTCAACATACCAAAAAAAATTCCAACTCTAAGCAGAACTACATAAATACAAAATACAAATAGCACTCTGGCAGGAAACACATTTTCTTACAGGGTCAATACTCAAGCTAAGCATTCACACATACCTAATTTCTTATTAGGGAAGCGCTGATACCATTTTTCGGTAACGAGTATCGATATTTATATTTCTGTATTTGCCGGTACTTCCGGTTGCATGGAGCCGGCTTCCCAGGCAATCAGGATGCCAGGCAGCTTGTCAATACCTGCTGCCCGGCTTCTTGATTGTAAGCCGGCTCCATGCTGTTTGGCCGCGAGTCATTACCCGCTGCCTGGCTTCCTGATTGGCCAGGAAGCCGGCTCTATGTTCCCTCACGGCACTGTTGGTTAGAAGAAATCTCCCTCTCACTGGATGTTTCAGTATCAGGATAAGTATTGGAGCATTTGTTTGAGTACTCGGTATCGGCACTGATACCAATACTAGCATCGGTGCATCCCTATTTCTTATCATTCCATGAACACTCCTGCTAAGTTGAGAGGGATCTTAGACAAATGTAAAGACCTAGAAGGTGTTTACCTCCTTTAAAAGGCTAAGTAAACGATAAACCAATTACAATGGCAAACCTCTATGGCCCAAACCTCAGGCAAGGTCCATTTAATCATTCCACGTACTCATGGACATACTCATAATGGCAAAGGACCTTAATCTCCCCCTTAGCCACCTCATTGAAACACCCAATGGTACTTCAATTATTACCTATAGAGCTCTTAAATCAAAAAATCATTACAATCTCTCACCCCTTACGGCTCCTAGCATGCATTCAATCCCAAGGGAGACTATACCTTCTACTCGACTCATCCCAATAAGTATTCAAGGACTGATTACTTTTCCTGCCCCCAGCAAATTCTACCCATCTGGAAAAGGCTTTAATGGAATCAATGATATTATCGAATCATTATCTTGTAACCATGACCATTTCATTTCCTCTACTAAAACAGAAAACCCAAATCTGGAAACTCAACTCAGCTTTTCTTAGAGTCTGAGTCCACCCCATTCAATCTACACACAAAGAATACTTTGAACTCAAAAAGATTCTGTATACTCGCCCCTCGTTGTGTGGATAGCCCAAACGTGTGAGGTGACCTCATTAACCTAAATACACAACTTAAAAAAAAGCCCACTAGGAAAAACTAAAACCCTCCTGGTACTGATTCACACCTTAGAAATCTCTTGCAGAAAAACGTTAGCCAATAACTCTAGCCAGAAGCAACTTGCCAACGAACTTGGAAAACAAACCATGAGGTTTCTGGTAATTAATCAGAAGCTATTCTAAATAGCTGGTCCTCTCTCTAAAGGCCAAACAAGCATTTCTGAAGGTTGACGCGTTAAGACTGATGTGATTGCATAGCACATTCTACAACTTAGATGCAGGCCCCCATACCGAACAAGCTTGGTGCAACAGGTATCAACTAAATAACTTTTTAGGGCAATATGGTCCCCCTGCCTTTTCTTCCGAACAAGCTCAGACCTTGGAGGACCTCTTAACCTAAAAGGAGCTCCTCACTGCCATTAAACAATGAAAACTGGGGGAAAATCTAGGACCGGACAGCCTCTCCCTTCAATACTACAAAAGTTTCAGCCACTTTCTTGTGCCTGAATACAATAAAGCATACATAGTTGTCATCCCTAAAGACAGTAAAGACACAAAACAATGAAATGATCACAGACCCATCTCGCTTTTAAATGTGGATATCAAACTATCCCCAAAAATGGAAGTGAACCACCTTGCCCCTCTGCTTCCTTCCTAAACTGACTTGGACCAAATGAGCTTTTGTCCTAGGCTGTGAGGCACTAATGCTCTGAAGCTAAGCAACTGGGCCACTAAAATAAATACAGAAGGGTTTCTTCTGTCCACAGCCACTGAGAAGTAATTCGATAGAGTGGCTTGGGACTCCATGGCAGCAACCTTTTGACACCTGGGCTTTTTGGCCCTTGATGCAAAAAAAAAGAATACTAGCCCTTAAAACATACCCCTTTCGCAGAGTAAAAGTCAATGGCCTCCTATCGCACACTTTCCATATTTGTAATGGCACCAAACAGCAGTGCCCTCTATCCCCTATTATTATTATATTCATTCCTATGGAAAGTAAGGACAAATATATTATATTATATACACATCCCTGGAAACTGTTTTAAACATACAAGTTTTATATATATAT